CAGAAGTTTGAGGTACCCGGACCCGGCTTCCCCACGGAAAGCCCAGCCCGCGCCCCCCGCCCCCCACCCCTACACGCCCGAACACCTACTGGTCCTGGGACTACAATTCCCAGAAGGCCCTGGGGCTCCTTCCTTGGCTTTTCTAAGGGGCTCCTGCCTCAAGGTCTGATGGGAATTGGAGTTCCTATTCATCCCTGCAGCTTGGGAGTTTGGGGGGGGTGTGTCCCCCACCTCCTACCTCCCTGGGGCTCTGACTCTGGCTTTCTCCCTCCCCCCAGGCCTGTAACTACCCCCTGGAACTCTATGAGGTGAGTGGCGCTGAGACCTGGAGTGGAGACAGTGTCATTCCTGGGATCTGTGTGTCTCTCTCTGTCCCCTAATATCTGTCTTCATTTCCGCACACATGGGTCCAACTCATACCTGGTGGCAGGGTTATGCTTGCTGAGTCGTCCTAGGTGAACCTGAATCTCAGGTAACTCCCCGAGGTAGGGACACAGCCACAGGTATGATACTTAAATCCCAGGGTGATGTGCTAAATCGGAGTCCAGGGCACTAAAGAGGCACAGACTAACCCAGTTTAAGGGGGAAGGTAGTCAGGGAGGACTTCCCTGAGGAGGCGTCACCAGAATTGATCCTGGAGTTTTTCTATGTATTTATCAGGGTGGCCTCGCTCTCCTCCATTCCTTTACTCACTGAGCACCTGTTTCCGGAAGTGTCAGATATGCCAAGCCCTGTTCTGGCATCTCCTCTTTCAGTGTCGGTGAAAGCTACAGACAGAGAAATTCGCCCGCAGAAGGAATATGTTTGATGATGGAGGGCCTCGGTCACAGGGCACCAGGGATGGTCCCGGAGGTACCTGGCCCTGCCTGGGAGACTCAGAGAAAGCTTCCCAGAGAGGTGGGGCCTGGAGGATGTGCAGGGTTCCCCAGCAAAGGAGAGGGACCCCGGGCCAAAGAAGGAATGCTTTCTCCCTCATTTATCCGTTCATAAAACGTTTTGTCGAGCCCCTCTGTGGGTAAGGCAGGGCCCTCGTCACCAGGGATAGAGCGGGGAAACAAGAGAGAAAAACATTCCTGCCCCCATGAGGCTTCACACTGAGAAAGACGTGAAACAAAATAAACGAGAACATGTTAGAAAGCAATGAGCAACGTGGAAAAAAATCAGTATTAAGGAGGGTAGGGAGTGTCCTAGGAGAAGTGTTTGTGGTTTTAACTGCAGTAAGCAGAGAAGGGGTCACTGAGAAAGGGTGGCAGAGATGTGAGGG